TGCATGCCCGCCCGCACATGCACGCTCACAGACACACGCACACGCATCCTTCCAGGGTTGCTGGTTTCTGTTGGTTCATCCTCACCTGAGGATTCTCATTTTCCCGTTGATTTTTATTATTTCTTATTTAGTTATATCCTCAACCGAGGATATTTTTTCCCCATTGATTTCGAGAGAGAGTGGAAGGGGGAGGGAGAGACAGAGAGAAACACCCATGTGAGAGAGACACGTCGACGGGCTGCCTCCTGCATGCCTCCCCCCCCCAACCAGGACCGGGAGCGGGAGCAGGAGCCTGCCGCCGAGGTATGTGCCCTTGACCGGAATCGAACCCGGGACCCTTCAGTCCGCAGGCCGACGAGCTCAAGCCACTGAGCCAGACCGGCGAGGGCTTTCTCATTGATGTTTCTCTTTCTCCCTCTCCCTTCCTCTCTGAGATCAATAAAATATATATTTTTTAAATAGATATATATGTATATATATATTTTTTATTGCCTGGTCGGCGAGGCTCCGTGGTTGAGCATCAACCTACGTACCAGGAGGTTGGACAACGGACCTGTGTGTGGGTGACACTGCCCCCTGGTGGCGGGCGTCCTTAAAGGCTCTCCCTGGTGATGGGGTGAGTGGGGACGGAGCCCGCCTGGGCCTGAGCACCCCACGGCCTTGAGGGCCGGCCTCCCTGTGTGAGCCTCCGGCAGGACGGCCCCCCCTACTCAGAGGGCCAGGCCTTCCCAAGCTCCTGTCCCCCCGAGATCCCATGCACATGAGGCTGCCCCTGGATAGGGGGCTGAACGTGAACCCATCTCGGCCCCTGTGTGTGCCGGAAGGGACGGGGCCCAAGCCCTAGCCGGTGTGGGTCCCGGGTTCGATTCTGGTCAAGGGCACGTACCTCGGTTGCAGGCTCCACCCCCGGGCCGGGCCCTGGTCGGGGCTCGAGCGGGAGACCACCCATCGAGGTGTCTCTCTCACATCGATGTTTCTCTCTCTCTTTTCCTCTCTCTTCCCCTCTCCCTAATAAAACCAATGGAAATATCTCCTCGGGTGAGGAATAAACAAACAAACAAACAAAAAGGATAAGACCCAAGACTTGGCAGCCCACGGGCCTCATACCACCTCCCCCCCACCCGGACCCCAGCCTTGCTCCCTGGGACCTTAGTGCGCTCTGGACGTGCTCTGGGGATCGGTTTTCTCATCTGTGAAATGGGTTGAGACTCTCACCTGCATCAGGAGGCGTGTAGGTGCGTCCTCCACCCCTCGGAGGTGGGCACCTCGCCAGATGGCAGAGGTGGCGAGGGCCCTGCAGACGCACTTCCACGCCCCCCCGGTCACCCCGTGGCCCTCTCCCCACAGCCCAGCGTGGCCCCTCA